ACGTGATGCACTGCATCTGAGGTCTTGGTGTCAATATTGACTTTTCGGAAAGATGAACACACAGCCAACAGGCATATGAGTGGGCAGCCCTAGAGGGGTCCCTGCAGGCCGAGCCTATTGGTGGCGGGTTCTGCAGGTGACAGACTGTGTGGCCTGGGGATAATGTACTTGGTGCCCTTGTTGTCTCTTTGTGCAATACCCCAATTTGTTATCCCCTCTGTTTACTAGTCTAATTGAATCCCTATCTCCTTACTTCTTTAATTTTGTTATTAAAAGAGAGAGAGGAAGGGAAAATGTTCTCTTCTTTCTCCCATTTTGAGAAATTATACTCTTGTACTTGATCCAGCTAACAGGATTTTCTTAAATTACTTTATAAAAGACCATCTTTTAACTTTTCTCTTTTTCTCTCTATCCATTCATTAGCAGGTCTGCCTGAAGGGCCTCCTCTCATCAATTGGTTGGGTTAAAGTTACAAAGTTAGGCGGCTCAGCGCTCACGGTGGTTTGGGGGGTGGGGGGACTTGGGGGCCGCTGCAGAAAGCCTGTGTGGGGGGAAGCAGAATTATTAATTTCTGAAGTATTAGAAAAAAATAAAGAGATTGGATTAAGAGTATTGGCACTCTGTTATCCTGTACTAGTAGCCCCAGGGACTTACTGTGGTGGAGGACATTATGCAAATGTTCTCCCTTTCTTGCTCACTTCCTCCCTCTCTCTGTCGTTCTGTCTGTCTCGCTCTCGCTCTCTTTCCCTCTCAGTCAATCTCTTCCCTTCTGTAATCTCTCGCTCGGCCCCCTCTCTCCCTCGCTCCCTCTCTCTGTAATCTCCCTCAGTCAGCGGACGCAGAGACACGCCATGGCAGCACGGAGCAGCGAGCAGCCCGGCAAAGAGACAGCTGTCAGAGACGTCCCCAGTCATCCCGGCCCGCCTCCATCTGCAAGGGCCCGATTTCAAACTTGCACAGATTCCCCTCCAAGGGCACCGGAGGTGGCGCGGTTCTGGGTGCAGGTTATGTAATTTGCATCCGTTCTCATCGTTTTATCTCGTTCTCTTTTCCTCCGACTGACGCACTGAAACAGAGTCTGGTTCTACGTCCCCATTTTATTGCATGATTGGATTATGGGAGGAAGCCAGCTCTGCAGCCCATAACTCAAATACATTGACCCCCCCCCCCAGGATGAAACAGAAAATAAAGAGCACATAGCGTATATACAGTGCTTGTGCAATGCCTCAGATTCTCATGGAACAGATGCTTAAAAAGCAAATTGATTGATTAAACTAAGCAGTTGGATTCTTTTTTGAAGTATTTCACGATCCTTTTGGTATTTTGTGTTTTTTCGGCCTTCTCTTTATTTAACCCTATTTCCCTCCAACCATTAGGTTTGTTAAGCAAGCAGCATGGGGGACATGACCTGGCCAGTCCATGCCCCATGGATGCTGGTCCATAAGTTGTACAGAATAGTTATTCAAAAATTCAGGAAGATGAGCAAGTTCAGCCAGTAATTTCAGAATAAGTGCAGGATTCCTAATACAGACTGGGTTCAGACAGAAGATGTTATTACACCAAGGCCTGAAATTTAGTCACATTGTCTCACTCGCTGCAGACTGACTAATCAGTATTGTGTGCAGTTCCCTAAGAAACTTTTTAAAGTTTCCTGAAGAGATCCGCTGTCACACCGGGGCAACCTGCAGGACCCTAAGGGAAAATTGCTGGGAAAGTGTGAAAAGTTTGACAGGGTGCTAAACTTACAGAAAAAGTGCATCTTTCACACCTCAAGTAAACAGAACTAAAAATGATTGTTCTCATTCTGATAAAAACGGCCATGACCAGGTGACCCGCAGCCCAGGTGTGCACCACGGCCCCATCCCTGGTCCTCTGCACTTTTGGACAGGATGAGAAAAGACCGCAGAAGAAGAAGGCTGGGAAGGCGTCTCAGCCTGTGGTGGGAGGGGGAGAGCGAGAGTGACGGCCCAGCAGCATCGGCAGCGTTTAGACGAAGCTGCTTGCAGCTCGAGGGGGAACGCGGGACCGGTTTGATGTTTGCAAATATTAGCTTTGTGCAGGAAGTTTCTCCTTTTACAAGCTCATTGCATATTCAGCGGCAGATGTTGCGATGACTGCAGCAGGGATAAAGGGGGGGGGGGCTGGCAGATGAATGAAAGGCTGAGACGGCGGAGCTGTTGTCGGAGGAGCGAATAATTGGCCCCTTGGTGACGAGGTGGCAGAGCGAGAAGCACCGGCGGCCCCTCTCTCCCCTGCCCTCATCCTGCTCCTCTCCCGCTCGCCGCCGCTCAGATCTGATAAAGGTAAACATGTCGGGAATTTGCCATGTGATAAGGGAGGCTTTTCCACAAAACGGCGCTGGTGTGATGAGGCTGTGATCTCGGCCGTGTGGGTAACAGCGGGAGCTGCAGCGGAGATCTCAATCCACTTCCCCCCATCACACGGGGCGCTGTGGGACCCAAGGCGCCATCCCAGCTCCCAGCTACCGTTCCTTTTCATGTTCCTTCTCTACCTAAATACATCTTACTTTGTCTTCCGATGTTAAGCATTAAGCCTGACCTTTGTGTACTGGCTTTTTTTTAGCCAGCTGTAGGACGTAAAAGGTCCACCAGGAGCCCCCCAGGGTTTTCAGAGGAAGAGAGGAACTGTAGTAGCAGGTGTTCAGACAGACTGTACCACCAAGAAGTCATAGGGAAAAAAATGGAGTTTCAAAGGCAAACAGTGTCTGTGCAAAGTGGAAAATTAATGGCGCCTAAATAAATAACCGGTGGTAGTCTTAAAAGTAGCGTTTATAAATGCGGCAACCAGTGTTAATTACAAGCGCTTTTAATTTGGCAATATGGAGCAAATAATTTAAGCCTCTGTAGGGCATGTACAAGTGTCCCATAAAATATGCAAACTAATGCCAAAATGATGGCACTACCTTTTCATCCCCCCCATCCCCCCCCAGTACCTGGATGCCTGCCCTGTTTGTTGGGATATACTTTCATTTTGTTGGTCACTGTATCCACCTCATTAGGGCACACCAACAAGCCATGAGGGGCAAAATCTGCATACTGCCCCCCCCCCCCCCGGCGTAGGTAGCATGTGTCGGGCAGAGACGCCTCTGGATCGGAAACCTGCTTCAGACCCTGGCACATGTGAGGGGAGTTCTTGGCAGAGGAAGCGTGTGGCGCAGGGTGGGGGTGGGTTCTGGTGGGCGCTGCCGGTGATGGGGAGAGGAAAGCGGTTTGGGGCGCTACAGTGAGCTGAACTTTGTTAATGGAGTGTCTCTGTGTGAGAGTCACCCAGCTTTGAAAGCCAAGCCCCCCGGGTGAGGGCTCTGAAGCACTGGAATCAGACATGCACAATCAGTTCCACTCCTTAAATCTCCTTTAGAAGCATATCTATTTGAACAGCCTCCCCTTAATTAGTTTCTCTATCAGTTAGCGGGTTGTGATCTGGCGGACGGGCTCCGGCAAGCTGGAGTGCCTCTGAATGGAGCCCGAGCGCCGTGTTCCCTCTCTCCTTTTCTTCTCCTCCGTCTGCTCACTCGCTTCTGCTTTATATTGTTCTGTCTGTCCTCTCTCTCTCCCTCTCTCCCTCTATCCTCCAGGTTTTCTCGCTGCTATCTTCCCCTTCTTGGCTTTCTCCCTGTTCAGTTCTCAGTGGCCATGGAGGCTGCGGCCCTCGTTAGATTGTTCTAGCTTCATTCAGGAATAACATTAGTGCAAGTGGCTATGGGAGATGTGAGAAAAACAACTGTGCCTATTTTCATTATTATAATATTTCTCAATATACCATTTCGGTCAAACCAACATGCATGGCCACAGTGTTAATTAGTGTCTGCTCTGTCCTGCTCACTGACAGATATTCCTGGGTACTGTGTGAGATGAGCACATGTACCTATGAACAGGTGACTAAAATATGTTAATGAGCTGCACTTTGGGGCATGTGATCTACAGCCAGTGGCTGAGCAGGCCTGAAAGGATGTTTTTTTTCAGAGCCACCTGTCCAATGAAACAAGCAGGATTTCACAATCGTCCCCGGAGGGTTGGCTACATTAGCCTGGAGGGGGTGACTGATTAGCAGCGGTCCAACAGTGATTGTGGCGGCACTCTGCCTTCTGCCCACATCCACGTGGCCAAGCTGGGCACGGCCACAGGACCTGGGTCAAGGGGCCAAGCTATCAAGGGTCCCACTTGGAGGTAGATGGGTTGGGTGGTGGGGGGGGGGGTCGCCCTGCTTGACTCTTCCCACAATCCCCGGAACAAAGGCGTCATTGACGACAAGAATGCGCTCGGCCACCGCCACGGCCCTCCCCGCGCTGAGCTCACCCAAGTGATTAGTTAGGGATTAAAATATTTGCTGCGCAAATATCAGCCTTGGCTGTCTGACCTCGCACCACAGTTCAAAGACACTGCCTCGGCCCGGCAACAGCCACCAAGACCACCAGCTCGCCGGCCGGGGTGCCGGCCTTCCGCTGGCCAGGCCAAGCGCCCCCCTCATGGAGTTAACCCTTTAAACGACGCCGGAGGCCTGAGTGAGATCGCTTAACCACAAATGATGGCAAGATACTTGCCGAAATTGACGACTGACTGTTCTTGGCCGAGGAGCATGACAGAGTGGCGAAACAGTGCCAGTCACACTCTCCCACATCACTCTCACTGTGGCCCTGGGGAGGGGGAGCCCCCCCCCCCCCGGACCCCAGCATCCCTAGCTGCACCCATACTTACCCTGACAGTACGTCACTGGCCCTGCGCCATGCCGGGAAGGAACCGTGGAAGAACTGCAGGCTACTCTGTGATTCACTGTGCTGATTTAAAACATCGAGTGTCATACTCAGCTCATTGAACTTATGCAAATCCAACATATGACAATAAACAAAATAACTACTGTAGCTCTACTTAACAGTAAAAAGTGGCTTTATTTATTAACTGAATAACTTTTCAACACAGCCTAGCTAATGTAAATGTGGCTTATCACCTTATTGTTTAACTTACTAATTCACTAATGTACATGTTTCATAGCCGTATAAAAATACCCTTATTTGGGGGGGGTTAAGAGAGACATTGCCAGGAAGGAGCGCCCTGTTTGGTTCTGTTGGGAGCAGCAAGCCCCCCGCTGAGCGTGGCGAATCACACATTCGATGGAAACACTCCGGTAATCCAGCTGACTTGCTGACCTCATCAGAGGCCGGGCGGACGTGGTCAGGTGCCGATGCAGGGCTGAAATGAGAAAAAAGAATTATGGGAGCCAATTGAAAATTGATCGCCTTTGACTCTGATTGAAATCTATGTGACCGGGGGATTACGGCCCTGGGGACGGGGACCTGCTCACAGGCACCGGGCCCCAAGCCTCTGGGAGCGGAAGCAGGGCCAGGCAGGGGCTGCACATCAGGCTCTCGAGAAACTTCTCTACATACCGTGTGCATTGCAGTTTGCTATGGGCACCTAGGTGCTACATTAAAGGGATGCTAGTGGCTGAATGACTCACAGTGTATTTCCGGTGAAACACTTTTGTCTGAGACCCTCGGCCAACTCACGACAAGCTCATCCCAGCCACTCCATTTTGGCCTGCTGGCCACACTCTTGCTGGTTTCCTTCACCTCCTTTGCTCCTTGAATTGGCTCATTTAACTCCAAACTCCAGAAGCAGGTGCTGGCCTAGCAGACAAACGAATAGCCATGTTTCACTTGGTTGAGCAAGTTAATACAGGCTAATTGTCTCGGAAAAGAAAAAATAATTGCATGCCATTAGCACTGATGATGATCTTTAACTGCAATGTGTGTTGATTACAAAAGATCTTCTTTAAAGCTCTTTAGGAATTTATCAATCGGTAGTTTTTATTTTATATTTTTTCCATTTGGAGGTGATTCGCTTTGCCTAATCCAGCAGGCTAATTCAGGATCGCCGTCACTTGACTTCCAAAGTAGTTATGCTTTTACCTGGTGCCTCTTTAGAGAGACCAGCTGGTACTGATGGTACTGAGATTTAGAAAGAGCCTGTGACCCGTGAGGTCACTGACATCGTTAGGGTCTGGACCTTGTTAGGCCCGTTGTGGCCCCGCCTCCTTTCCTCTCTGACGGACCCAAAATCAGAAGCCTTATCCCGTCTTCTTTCATTTTGGCAGAGTGCTGGGAAAAAAAAAACATGCAATAATTAAAAACAACAAACAGGAGGCTTTATGGACAATCTGTGAAAGGTGGTGCTCAGTGTGAGTTGGGAGGTGAAGTAGGAAAAAGTTTGCAACAAAGCTGAGAGTGCTGCCACTCAGGGGGAGTGGGGGGGCTATGCCAAGTCCATTATTGGCTCCCAGCTGAAACAATGCACCCGCTCCACCCCCCCGCGGCACTCGGGCAGAGTTAAGTGCCGGGTCTTGTGGTCGGGGTTCTGTACCAGAGGAGGCTGCACCTCTGTACCTCTCTGCAGAACAGTGTGACCTGTGAGGCCGACGCCGGCTTTAATTTGGGCTTTATTGCGGCCGTGTTATGTTTTTTAATAAGCGCGGGCTTTGGGGGGGGGGGCTCTGGGGGCTAATATTCCTTTGCTCCCAACAGTCAGTTGGCACGGAGTCCCCTTAATTTCTCGCCCCCTTCGCACCTTCCCTTTGTTCGTTCGTGGCGCGCGGGGGCACGGAAGCAGGTTGGAGAGAGCCAGGGCTTAATTAGTTTCTGTTAAATTAATTAAGAAGGAAAGGAACCTGACGCGGTCAGAACAAAAGCGCGGTCGGCCCACAGGGCCGGGAGGGGACCAGAGCCGCGCGCCAGATTCCACAGGTCCAGATTAAAGCGGCCCCCTAGGAGGCTCCGTCTCCCCAGCCCGCACCGACCACCCGGGGAAGCCTTAATGGCACCAGTACGGCCATCCATCACTGTCGGCGGCCGGGCCGGTCGGCCCCAGGCCCCGCTTTACTCAGCAGAACATGCAGCCGGCCTAAACCACGTCCACTGCATGGCGTGCTTATAAACGGCAGCCTGCATTAACCCTGTCGGTCTGGCACTGGCCTGCATCCGCCTTCTTAACCAACTGCTCCTCTGAAGGTTTAAATGCGCTGGAGAATCGCACATGGTATTCTGTGACGGTTTAATCCTCGCCCTGCTAAGGGTGCTCCTAAAAATGCAGGATAATTCATGCGTGAATCTTAAAATATTAAAATACAAAGTGTTTGAGTTTATTAAACAAGAAACACAATGTTCAACAACTTGAAAAGCACTTTCTCATGTCCTACTCTGCGACTGGCTGATTAAACCTGAACGTGTTCCTCTCTCTCCCCCAAAGAGCATGCGGATGTCTGGTTGGGTTACTGGGCGTCACGCTGTCAATGTGCCTCAGCATTCAGGGAGACAGACAGTCCACTCTTATAAAAAGTACTGGGTACGTCACGTATACCATTATAAACTCCCCCGTAAAGATGGAAAATGAACGTGACAGTGGGCCTTAACCACGCCCCCTGCTGGTCACTGGTACAATGGCACGTGTCCATGCATAATGTGTGCTAACTGCTATTAGCATATGATCACTATTGCCGCTTATTGTTTAGCCTTTTTATATGCATGGATGTGTTAGGGGAGCCCCTCACTGCTCAGGGTTTGCCTGCACCTGCTGGGGCGTAAAAGATGAAGCTTCAGGACACAGGACTATGTCTTTGACCAAATGCCTCCCGCTGCCTCAGGGCCCAGGCAGGTCTCTCCCCATGTGTGAATGGAGTCATGTGGACAGGAGTCACATGCTCTGGGGAGGGATTGTGAGGGAGGGGGTGCTGGTGGTGCTGGCAGAGAACAGGAGGGGTGTCGTGCAGAGAGGTGGCATTGGGGGTGGTGACTCAGCGCCTGAAATGGGTCTGCAGCTTAATTCTGGTTCTTGGGCTCGATCCAAACCTTTCAGGACCACAACTCCCCGCTTTAATCTGCACTTCGTCAGCCACTCAGTCGTGCTGCTTGTTTTTTTCCCCGTTTTTGTCAGTTTTTTTTTTTTTTTTTGTTTCTTTCTTTCGCCGTGACCCGATTCCCCACTG